ATGAAGGAGCGTCTCCCTGAAGCTAGGCAGAGTTCAGAAACTCCAGAGCCACTTCGTAACAGAACTTATACTGTTCCTGTAAAAACACACGACACGCCTCCGGTTAAACCACAAACATAAACACTCAATAATAAACATCTTTTGTTTGTTTGTTTGTTTACCAGCAGGTCCACCATGTTCGGTTTGTTGTTTCTGAGCGTCTTCACTGCATGAAACACATCAACGCAGCGCTGCTGTCGCAACATCTCACACACAATACTGACACTGCAGAACACACCGCTGCGCCCGCCTCCATTCCTGAGGGGGAGGAGCCAGAGAGGAGGAGGGGCCAGTGAGGAGGAGGAGTCAGAGAGGAGGAGGAGTCAGAGAGGAGGAGGAGTCAGAGGGGAGGAGGGGCCAGAGAGGAGGAGGAGTCAGAGAGGAGGAGGAGTCAGAGGGGAGGAGGGGCCAGAGAGGAGGAGGAGTCAGAGAGGAGGAGGAGGAGTCAGAGGGGAGGAGGGGCCAGAGAGGAGGAGGGGCCAGTGAGGAGGAGGAGTCAGAGAGGAGGAGGAGGGGCCAGAGAGGAGGAGGAGTCAGAGGGGAGGAGGGGCCAGAGAGGAGGAGGGGCCAGTGAGGAGGAGGAGTCAGAGAGGGGGAGGAGGGGCCAGAGAGGAGGAGGAGTCAGAGGGGAGGAGGGGCCAGAGAGGGAATAAGGAGAAAGAAGAGGAGTCAGAGATGTTTCTGGTTGTGACCACCAGATGGAGACAACACATCAACAACCATCAGAAGCTGCTGCTGGATCAGAGTCTTAGAACCAGAACAGAACCTGTTGGACCAGATCCACTTGGGTTCCTGGTTTAAACTGAAGACCAGCAGAACCTGAACAGGATGTTTGGTGACCCAGAGCCTGGTTCTGACCTGAACACTGTGGTCCACAGAGGACCCAGTACCATGTGTAGTACTGTGTGTAGTACCATGTGTAGTACTGTGTGTAGTACTGTATGTAGTAGTAGTACTCACAGGCAGTGTACAACAGTGCGTCCCTCACCACCGTCGTACTCATCCTGCCATTTGTCCACCTGGTGGACGAGTTTGAGGAAGGAGCGTTTGGAGACGGGAGTGTCTCGGTACATGGGCCAGCCCAGGAACTGGAACTGTTGGACCATGCGGTACCCGTCCTGAGGCTGGAGACACAGAGAGGACAGGAGGTCAGAGGAGGAGACAGGTGAGACATGTCAACAGGAGGTCAGAGGAGGAACACAGGTGAGACATGTCAACA